TCTCTCTCTCTCTCTCTCTCTCTCTCTCTCTCCTCTCTCTTTTTCTGTATCTCCCTTTTCTCTCTTTCTCTCTCCCTTTCTCTCTCACTCTTTGTATTCATCACTCTTTACAAAATAATGACACACAACATGTCCACTATAGTATAATACAGTATTGAAAAACACGGGGAATAAACGTGAAATAAAATGTGAGTGTGAGAGTGAATACTTCTTAGATCGTACCACACATTAGCCTGCACATTTAAAGAGAGAAACTCAGATTACTTGCTTTGTGGCCTACACAAGAATCAAGAGGCCCGACCCAAATCTTGTCAAATACAAAAGCGAATCACATGGTTCTGTCAGTGAAAGGAGTGATGGATAAAAAAGAGTCAACCGGCTGTCGAATCGAAAGAAGCAGCAGCCGTTACCGTAAAATACTGTTGGAGGTTAGCCTACATCCAAGACACAGTAAGTGGATGCAACGGAGTATGGACGTCATATTATTATTTTTAGCAACGGGGATTCGTTTTGTCAAAGGCAACCTCAAATTTGCAAGAAGAGGAGTCTTCCGTTCTGCACATGTTCAACTGCCAAAAACACATAAATGCTGATCGTCTTAAACGTTTAGGGATTTGAAAGAAGAGGAGCTTGGGAGAACAACGATACTAAACACGGTAGGGTCATACGGGGAACACGGTAGTTGTCACGGTCAAATTATGGGCTAATCTGAAGAAAACGCGCCAAACTTTTGACAAGGGTGTCCTCTGGAAAAAGCCTATAAATGAGAATACTTGCATTTTTTAAAATGAAACAGCAAGCGTTATCGATTCTTTAGATATTCTGGTACCCAAAAATGGAGAAAGTTAAAAATCGATTTTTTGACCCAAACATCGGGTTTTGCAGACCCGTGACATGCCTTTAAAAAAGGGTAAGATTGAATTTTGGTGGACCAAACACTGGACGAAACTGGAACTACTTTAACTTTAATTGAGCTTGTGCAATGCCATAACAACTATAATATTATGTTCCTGGTCCACTTTTCTTTTCTCTGTTCTCATTTATTATTGTTTTACATAATTTACGTCTGTGTTGTTGTTGTTGGTTGTTTTGGTTTTTTTGTTGCCAGGGGAGG